CTCATATTTATGAATGAATAATATAATAAATACTACTTTACTAAAAGGAATAATAATAAAAGAATAGTAAAAATAACAGTAAAAACAACAATAAAAGTAACAATAATAGTAAAAATAGTAGTAATAAATAATAAAGGATAAAGGGTAAAGTTTTTGGTGTTAATCAATCCCGTCTGAGGGATGCGCCCCACACTCGACCTAAACTCGGAATCGTAGGGGCGTTTTGAATGATTTGTGCCCAATATAATCACTTGTGGTGACAAACCNATGTACAAGTCAGTGTTTTTACCCTCCCAGACGAGTCTGGTACCAATTCACTGACCCCGAAAGGATGAAAGGCTTGGTTGGCCTAGATGGATCCGGGATTTGAACCCATGACCGTGCATGTGTAAAGTGCGACACTTGCCACTACATCACCTCCGCCCATTAACAAATAATAATAGTAATAAATGATACTTTGCTCTTTCCATCTCACCTATTAGGTCACTTGCTTTCATATAAGTGATCGATACCTGAATGTGGAATCCATCATGGTCGAAAAATTATTAGAAATATTGGAGAAATATTATAAATAGCTGTTTAGTACATATTTATTGTCTGATTTATTTACTTATTTGTTCATTCATTTATTTACATCTGTTTTATTTTTTTTTCGGAAAGATTTTGAAGAAACAGATTGGAAAAGATCGGCATAGAAACACTCATTGTAAGGCAAAGGAATGTTCAAAAGTAAAGTGACACTCAAGGTGTATACTGGTAATAAAAATTTTTACACTCTTTATATTATATTTCTACCGGAACCTCTTTGATCTTCAGGGTACTTTTGTCTGTGTTTTACTAGTTCTCCATTTTTATCGGGAAGAAAGTTTGCTTCTATGACTATGGTAACGGATGGCCGACATGATAAAGAAGTCGGTATTCGAGGTATCGGAACATCTGCCATGCAAATAATCTTCAACTTCTACATGTTGTAACCTCCTCATAATAGTTTACGATGGCATTACCCTTGTGCTGGCAAGGTTTTTAGGTGGAGCTATTCATTGAATCCATCATTCTCTAACACCTATTTTTATTTATTATTTCATTTTCTGATAATTATTGTCGGGTAAAAGCCTGATTAGTTCCTCATTTATGTTTTGCATGACTCAAGAGCGTCATATTCGGTTCAAAATCATTTTTAAAAGATTAAAAAATCCATGGTCAAGTTAGTTCTAGGAGGTTTCTAAGTTGAACAGTTTGTTGATTATAATTAATTCGAAGTCTTAACGTCGTCGTAACCCGAGATGGTATGCTCACCATTCGAAAAGGTTTTAATACCTTCCAGGAAATCCAACTACATGATCCAAATATTCGAGATTCGCCCACACCAACAAGGGCCTACCAGGATTCCGATGCTACAACAAGAGGGTGTTGAAAATCAATCAAATCCTCAAATAGTCCCCCAAAAAGCTTTGCCAGACGCAAGGGTATAGCTATCATAAATTTTCATGCCGAGGTTACAACAAGAAAAAAGTTGGGGATCAATTGCATGGTGGTTGATCCAGCACATCGGGTTCCCAAGTCCTTTATCATTCTGGTCGTTTGCATTTGCTTGGGCGGATGTGACCGAAGAATTCTTCCCAAAATTGTAAATCTTGCGAAATGCTGGTTAATGTGCAATGATGCCCAGGGAGGTTAGGTCGGAAGTACCGGAGGTTTTAACTTCCCCTCAGTGGGATTAGGAAACATTTCTTCGAAGTTAACTGTACTTTTCGACTTTCCCTTGTATTTTACAGTTATGACCGAAGCCTTCAGTAGAAAAACGCCTGAACGCTGCTGTGGGCTATTTATGCTTATATCATAACTTATTCATGTATCAGTTACCCAGAAGAGCGAGCCCTTTTTGAAGGTCTTGCGAACTTTGTTTGGATAGCGTTGGACAGTCATGGTCGATTCAATCGTTCCCACAAGTATATTAGGAACATGAGTTCATGGCGCAATTTCACCTAAAGGCTGCTATTAGGGGCTATATCATGCGTACAAATGGGCATCCTAACCTTCTGTATAACCTTTTTCATGCTCTCGAAGGGACAGATTACCAAAACCAATATGCTTTCTGGCATTCCAAGGGTATTAGAATCTGCCTTTTTTTGACAAAAAAAGTTGAAAAAATGATCTATGCAACTCTTGTAATGATCTGTGGGTGCTGGAGAATCCTTTCAGCTTGAAGAAACCCTCGTTAAGCCATCTGCCAAGAAGAAAATAAACATTAGTTGTAGAGAATCATCAGGGTTTCACCGGCAAGTCCCAGTCTCAAGGGAGTCTCGTTTTATGCCACCATCTCATCTCCTTACAAATTGGTCTCGTGGTGGGGTTCCGATTAGTGAAGATGAGACATATTCATGAGTATCGTAATTGGCAGTTAGTAATGGCTTGCGAGCAGTGGCCCTCGGATGGGTGCCTAGCCGTAAGCATATTAATCCGTCCACCATTAACGACGAAACCTCTTGAGAGGTTCATGCTTTATGAGCGAGGGAGCCAAGGTTCTTAGCGGGGATAGGCAGAAACACCTTCAAGGACCCTTCTAACTGAAAAGGAGTGGCAGCTTTGTCACACAAAGCCGGAGTGCTAACGAGTTCCCACGTCGTTTTCCAGCTCCACAACCTGAATAAAGTGCTATTTCCATGATAAGGTACGATTTAGAACGTTTTTTCATTGCTCCCCATTGGGCGCTCCCGGACTTTTCTCGTTCCACTTTTCCCCAAGACGGACGCTATTAGTTTTGATGAGAAAGGGGCCATTTGCAATGAATGTATATGAGACACCACCAGAACAATGCTAAAAAGTGCTGCTGTACTTCGGGAATACTGAGCGCACCCAATATCCCTGGCATTGCTGGGAATTCTTAAAACTTTCCTCCCACAGGAGGACGAGGTGTTATTAAAATGGGAAATATACATCCTAAAACTGCCCAGAAAATTTTTTTGTGGTTAACTCCCATTTTGGGCAATGAAATAAGGTAAATTTCAAGTAATTTTCTTCCCCACTTGTAAGCCGCCCAATACTAGTGAATGGAATCTAAATCACAAAGTTTGCAGAGCTAGTTCAAGCGGAGTTTGTGTCGGCAAGGGGCTCAATATCACACACTCATGGTCACGGGTTGAAATCTCGGCTCGATATTCGCCTTAGCCAAACAAGCCTCCCGTCCCTCCAGTGTCGCTCAATTGGTACAGACTCGTCTGGGAGGGTGGAAGCACTGACTTGTACATCGGCTGGCCACCTCAATCCATCGTATAGGCCATACGCATTCAAAACGCCACAACGATTTTGAATGGAAGTCGAATGCGTGGCGCATCCCTCAGACGGGTTTGATAGACGCCCATAGACTTTATCCTTCATCCTTTTATTATAAAGCTAGCTCGACTCCACCATCTTCCGTAGCTGAATCCCAATAGACTGATAGGCTAGCTTATCACATATGAAATTGCATGTTCGGGAGCATTTGACATTGAGCCTTTCACTAAGCCAAACGAATCTTCTGTGAGGGAAATTTCTTTGGTCTTTAGAAGGCACTCCGGCTTCCTGGCCATTTTTTGGGGAAATGGGGAAATGGAACCAGTATAAAGTAGTGTCATTGGTGAATGGCACAGCAATCTTTGAGAAATTAGTCTTTTTTCGATGCTCTGCATAGCCTAAGTAAAGTTCTGGCATAATGTACTTCCTTGCACTGAACTGAACTCGTACTTGAAAGGGAATCTTATGAGATTGGTCCGGTGGCTATCATCAATATTAGTTATTGCACATAGTTATTAAAATTTCTCCCCACCATCAAAAAGTAATGGCTATCCAAGAAATCCAGTAGGAAAGTAGCTTTGATTCGCTGAATTTCCAAAAGTCGCTTCATTTTTACGGCATTCAGAAAAATCAAATAACGCCATTCATTTGCGTCGTTGCAGCCTGCGAAGAGAGTCATTCAAAAAAAATCCGTTAGTTGACATTTTCGGAAGAAAACAAAAAATAAACAAACAAACAGTCCTCAATGGGTTATTTCAATTTTTCATTTATTGGGCTGTAAAGTTTGATTGTGATCTTCNNTTTTTTCGAGGCTCTGCATAGCCTAAGTAAAGTTCTGGCATAATGTACTTCTTCCTTTCTCTGAACTGAACTCGTATCTGAAAGGGAATCTTATGAGATTGGTTCAGTGGCTATCATCAATATTAGTTATTGCACATAGTTATTAAAATTTCTTCCCAGTATCAAAAAGTAATGGCTATCCAGGAAATCCTGTAGGAATGTAGCTTTGATTCGCTGAATTTCCAAAAATCGCTTCTTTTTCACGGTCATTCAGTAAAATCAACTGTCGCCATTTATTTGCATCACTGCAGCATGTGAAGAGATCTGTTCAAAAAAAAAATCCGTTAGTTGACATTATTGGAAGAAAACAAGAAATAAACAAACAATGAGCCTTTAATGGGTTATTTCAATTTTTCATTTATTGGCCTGTAACATTTATCGCGATCTTCTTAAAAAGAAACGCTGTCACCTCTTCTACTTTAAACCATGGGGCCTTTCTGTAAGTGCCACAACTCTCGGAACGCTTACCTGTCGGCTTCCAGAGCTTATGAAGTACTAACTTTGTCCTATGAGATTGCTTTAACGGAAAATTCCATTAATTTTGTTGGAAATTTCAGAATGGAGCCGTTTATAGTAATCTGACTTACGATTTCTGAAACTTCCTCGTTGACATCAAATCACCATATCTCCACCACACCCCGAAAAACTGGCTGTTCTCAGCCAAAGGGGAACTGTTCGGTAATGAAACGCCTTCAATGCCTGATAAAGATTTGAAAGGCAGAATACTCGAGAAAGTAACGATAGGTAACAAATATAGCTTCCCTTTGGAAAACCCCTCTTAATTAATCGCGAACTGCCTTAAATAAGAAGAAATCCTGTGAGAGGCTATTGCCAACTGCCATGCCCAAAAAACCTCCACCGAGCTACCAGTGTAGCTATTATCAACAATGCAGCCAATACAGTATACTCGTGATGATCGTTTCAGGATCAACGCCGAATTGTTTGAACTGTCACCAGATGGCACAAAATGGTTGATGGTTGACGGTCGGATGATGTACATCTCAGTCTATCGTAATGAGGCGGATCGTGTTCGGATAGCTGCAGTTTCGCAGACAGGCAGAACAATGCTCGACACGGTGCTTGGCAAAGGTATGTCATTCTCGTGAACTAACCAGTGGTCACCGATTCAATTATTTTTGTTTCCGTAAATAAAATAGCCGTTACAAACACAATAAAATGTCAGTTGGCTCTGAAAATTTCCAAAATATCTCGAATCCAACGAGGAAGAAGGAAGGAAAGTTGGAACTGCTTCGTAATGATTAGAGTAAACTATCGACTTACTCACTTAATTTATTCAAAATCGAGCTAAATTTTTCGAGTAGCTGCTTGCTTTCTTTTTCTCATCGGATTTGTCCAGATCGTGAATTCCCTTCTTTCCGATTTGTGCTTCAGGCGAAAATCTGAAACTAAAGCAGGTTTAAGATAACTTTTCGGTTCGGAAAAATGAAATGACAACTCCACCAACTCCGCCAGCGCTGGATATTCCCAGTAGTTTTGTGGAGAGTAAGTCATTCATCAGAAAGCAAAAAGACTGAACCATGTGCGGTCCCAAAAGTCACTGGATTTGTTGTTGATGTAATATTCGATTACTCGAGAACTATCTTTTCTGATCAAGGTTAATAGGTTGCGCCATGCCTCCGTTTTCCTCATAGTATGTTATTCTCATTGTCGAACAAGTTGTAATCTCTTTGGATTACTCTTTAAAATGATAATGGAAAGAAGAATCAATTGTTATAACATACTTATGTTTTCCTTGTGATCTTTTGGGGGGTTTCCTCTGCACGTTATTGAACACTCGTATTTTTCACTTCGTTCACGGTTTTGAATTGTAGAGCAGGGTTTGAAAAGACCCCACTTTGTGAAAAAAGGACCTGCTGCGTTGAAAAGGCACCATGACGTAAGCAGAGCTTGGTGAAGGACAAGCCGAATAATTCTTTTTGCAAGGAATGACTTAACACATGCCTCGTCGGCATTGAAGAAATCACATAAGTTCAAAAGACCGATTCAAAGGGAGCCTCTTAAAAACCCTGGAGGGCTTTCAGTGCAAAGTTAATTCCAAAATTAATAATAGTGAAGCGGAGGTCGTAGAGGTCCACTTTTCAAAGCAGCTGCGTCGTTGCATGCCACTTCTGTGGTCTCGTTTGCTTTTGGAGTGTTTTTAGACATGCAGTAAAGCATAGCTCATATTTCTCTTCACAGATGCGCTCTTTGGCGACTTCAAAGGGATCGAACTTTAGAAGGGTTTCTCAGGTGTAAATCTATACCGCGGGGCCACCTCTGCACAGATGTAGAGCCGAAAAGTCGGAGCATCCTCATGAATTGGTAATACTTAATGAAGTGATGAACCTGGGTTTTACACGACTCAGTACTTTCCTTGGATCTCTACCGTAGCACCTACCCCTTATGAAAGGATCACTTGTACTTTCCAGCCTAGGAAAAAATGACCCGATCTCATTTTCCATTCCGTGGACATGATCGACGTGAAGCTGGGGAATGAAAAATTGTTGTCAATCAATTCGGCATTCTGCGTTTCTCACAGTCATCTATCATCTCTCCATCCTGTTAATTATTCTTGGAAGCACTTACGGTCAGCAAATAAATGGAGTCGGCAGATCCGCTGCTTGCCAGGGTGTGAAAAGCCTCCAAAGCTGGATGTGGAGGGAGCGCGATCAGCCAAAGAATGCAACATAACTTCCTTAGTTTCCTAGCGAAAACGTTGATTTTCAGATCAAAAAGTGGAGAAGATCAGCGATTGTTTTGTGTATTGGCGGGATGCAGATGGACGAACCTTGGGAGTCAATACATTATCAGCCAAAGATGCCACACTGTTTCTCACTCATACGGCTCCATCAACGACTCCGATTACCACAATGGTCCAGCATAATGTGATCGCTCAGGTAAAGATTTCTTACCGACTCTTTTTGTCAGTCGATTCAGTTCAAAAGGTAATATAACCAGGAAAATATGGGCCCCTAGTACGAGCCTCCTCTTCTCTCACTTTTCCTTCCTCTCTACTTCATTTTGCCCTTCGAGATGACCCCTTCGAATTGTTCGTATTACTTTTCGTGCTTTTCCGGTGCCAACAAATATCTCACAGGCAAAATTCACAAAAAACATGCAATATAAATAAACTCTGGGTGCAAAGCAAATTGAAACATGGGCAAAATTCAATTTCATGCCTTTCCTTTCTTGGCATTGAAAACCCTTCAAAAACCCTTGATTTTACGACAAACGAGGTTGTAAACTGAGCGAGCAGCTCAAAATGAATGAAGAGGAACGAAAAAAAA